GGTGGGGGAGGGGGGAGTTGAAGGGGTAAGTTGGATACCGAACAAATCACACGGAAGCTCCTCGCCGGGCCATTTGTGTGACTGTGCCGCGACTCGGCGGCGCGCGGTGTGCGTGCGTGCGTGCGAGCGTGCGTGTCCTCGTCAAGGTTGGCCCTTGTTCCCCTCCCTCCGCTCCGCCACACTCCTATACCCACCCCCATGCCAAGTGTGGTGGTGGCCCGGCTTTCTCATGGCGTGTGATTTGTTATTTGGAGGTTCCCTTAGCGGGTGGCGACGACAGCGAGCGCGGCGAGCCCCGCGGTCGTCCCGACGGGACGGCTCTCATCGCTCTGGGCCTCCGCGGAGTCTCTTCCTCTCTATGGTGCCCACGTCCTCGTCCTGCCTATGGCCTGCCTAGTGTCGCAAAAACAGGGGTGGCTGCAAATACAATTTTGAGTCGACGAATGCCACGAAAGTTGAAAGGATTATATATCGTGAGGCATCAAACAAAATTCAAATTTTGTCGCTTTCAGCCCTTAAATTCCCCTTAACTCAACTAGACGGCCATTGAAAATGCAATCCATCCCAGACAAGAAGCCTTACTTGTCATGGGCCCTCAGTTGTTGTTGTTGACGCGTTCAGACGCGACAACTTGAACCAAATTTGAATTTTTCGTTCAACAGTACACATCAAATTAGTTTAGGAGTCAGACTGAAACGGACTAAAACCTTTAGACTCTGCGCCAGAACATTGGACGACGCACCAGATTATTTAATAACCACGCCCGAAAAAGTTTGGATAGTAGCACTTCTTTCAAATTGATCCAAACTCTATGTTGGCGGGTGCGTCCCGCCGCCACCGGGTCTGATCCACCGTCCGTCCGTGACCGCGACCAGCACGAAGGCGACCCGACTCACCTCACTCATGCAGGCCACCACGTGCTGGTACTTGTCCATGTTCTCCGGCCCCACTAGCTCCGGCACGTTGTCGTAAGAGACGTCGCCGAAGTCCTGCACATCGTGTCCTGCAAACAGCATAACCAGGATGCCGTTGTAAAAAACGGGGAGGGGAGGGGGAAGACCTGCATATTAAATTTTTCTCTGTCCCTCACATTTCTTGTTTTCTCCTTTGACTTTTCCCCCATCCGCTCTTTTCGTACTCGTGCGGAGCTAATTTTGACGTACCACCGCGCTCGCGGGGGAAGGGGGAGAGAGGGGCCGACCCGCTCACAGAGCTGTTTGAGTACCGTGGACAAAGCTCGGCCCGCTCGGCTGGCCCAGGCCCAGAACCCGCCAGGCTGTGGCCGGGGAGGCAGGAGTCGTGGTGCCACGCACACGATCAAAGCGCGGACAAAAAGAAGGGACTTTGATCGAAGTAAAGCAGTTCGATTTTCTTATTTTCCCCTCCTTTTTTCCGTTTCTATACGACTATCTCCCACCCCAAGGCTGAACACAGAATGTATTCAACCCTGCGCTCACCTAGCGAGCGAAGCGCGTCCAGTAGCCCAGCTCCTCGAATAGCACTAGGACCCCTACTCACTCCCTGGTTCGTCTGGAAAATACAAGCATAGAATGTTTGCGTCAACATTGTTCAATATTTCTTGCGCTTTTTTGCGCTTTGCTTTTTCGTACATGTCGTACGCACCGATTTGTACCAAGTGGGTAATTCACCATAGCCCTGTCTCGGGCGAGCCAAGTAGGCAAACCCGCCCCCACCCGTGCGTGGGGTACAGTATAACTACGAAGTGCGCGGCGAGAGTCAGCCACCTGGTACATTATTAACATACACACAATTTTACATTAATGTAGTGCACAATAAATTAACAAATTTTCTGTTCAGAATTATGCTAGATTCCGTATGCCAGATTCCGTAAATCCCGAGGTAAATCCGTATGTATATAACAGTGTGTACGACATGTACGAAGAAGTGCATTCCATACATTCCCACTTGTATGAGTCCCCCTTCCAGAATTCAGAATGCGTAACGTGTAAACGAAATGGGACACGACAACAATTTTTAGACTGACCTGGCCCTTTTCAAAGGGCACCCCCAGGATGCCGATGCGCTGACTGCCAGCCCGGCCGGAGAGTCGCCTCTGGATCCTCTGGAGGCTGCGTGGACCGGCGCCCGCCGAGGCGCCCGCGGCGCCCGCGACGCACTGCAGGCCCTTCCTCGCCAGCATCGCAGCGCCCTAAGCAAAAGCGAAAGACTCAAACACTCGGAAAAGAGAAAAACACATCAAAGTGTTCTTTAGGATTTCCCGCAAAATATTTTTTTTT